GAGTTTTTCCTTCCCATTGTTGCCAAGCGCTTATTCATCTGATTTTGGGGGTTTTCTCCTAATGTTTTCTCCTAATATATAAGGATTTCTCCTTACATTTTAAGCACCTTGACACAAGTAAAATTGAATGTAAGTGAATTAAATGAAATGCAGCTTTTCCACAAATATTTGAATTACAATCTCAGTATAGTACACCCTTTTGTTTATTTTACATGATGAGTTTTTCAATCTCAGCTGTCAAAAAACTGTCAAAAATTGTTTTGGCTTGGATATTCCTTAGCATTTCTGAACATAACAAAACCATCAGAAAGATGTCCATTATTTCAGCTGGACATGGGGTTTACCGTCAATGAGTCATCGGCACTAAGCCTGTAAGGACTACTCTGGGGGATTAATTAAAGAACTGTTGCTGGGATTGTTGTTGTTGTTTTTTTGGGGGAAAAATGTGTAATCATCCAATCACTTTCCAGCAACGCAACGTGGCATCCTCTAAACAATCTCCTGAAGTTCAAAGTGAGCATCTGAATGGGAAAGAAATGTCATTTAAGTGACTTTGAATATGGCGCGGCTGTTGTTCTCTAGGTGGTTTGATCTGAGTATTTCAAAATAACTGCTGATCTGCTGGGATTTTCCCACACAACCATCTCCAGGGTTTATAGAGAATGGTCTGAAAAAGAGAAAATATCCTCTGAGCAACTGGTCTCTGGGTGAAAATGCGTTATTGGTGCCAGAGATCAGAGGAGAGTGGCCAGATAGGAAGGCAACAGTAACTTAAACAACCCTCATTAAAACCAGTCCATGCAGAAGCATCTCTAAAACCACAATACATCAAGCCTTGAAACACATGGGCTACAGCAGCAGAAGACCACATCTGATGCCACTCTTGTCAGCTAAGAAAAAGGAAACTGAGACTATGATTTGCACAGTTGCAGTAAAATTGAACAATGGAAGGTTGCAAAAATGTCGTCTGGTCTGATGAATCTCAATTATCTCAAACTGGTTTGAGATAATTGATAATTAAACTCGATCCAGTAGAGCGACTTTGAGATTTGATGAAACAGGAGATTCACATCATGGATATGCAGCCAAAACTCAGCACCGGCTATGTTATGCCACGTGTTAATATGGACCAAAATCTCTGAGGAATAGTTGCATTAATGAGACAAAACAGTATTTCTTCACATGACAAAAATATATTTTTACTACTATAGCGATTCCTGTTCTAAGACTTAACTGTAACAACTTATTATTTGCAGGTGATAAACTATTTGACCATATTTTTTGTTATGACAGAGATGTGCCATATATTTCATTATGATGTATATTTTTGTTCCTGTTTTTTTAATTGTTGATTGTCGATTGGCTGATTAGACTCCTCAGCGGGTTGTTTACTACTAGCAGGGTCCTGGTGTTGATTTGTTGGGGGTCACACCCACAAATGTCTCAGACATGCATCTGTTTCTGCTGCTATGCAACAACAAATTTCCTATACACAATGTAATTATGTTCTGCTGCTGATTTATTGATAAATGTGCTATTGTAAAGAACTGCTGTACAGAGTAGGTTTAGGGGCTCTAGAAATGCGTATTTTGTTAACCTGAATATTAATATATTTTTTTCTCATATTTGCATTTTAACGATTTAATATCAAGATAAACTTTTCCACACACATTGTCCACTCTGTGTTTTGAGCACTGGCGCTTGATTTGCAGTGCTAAATTAAGTTGGACATGTTGTCAGTTGAATTTGGAAAATAACCTTCTCGTGCAAACTCTCCCCACACACACACACACACACACACACACACACGTATACATCATTCTGAACGAAACAGGCAAAAGATCAAACCATCAAACAATAAGCAATAACTGACAGCGGAAATATGAAACAACTGTTGTTTCGATCTGCAATTCATAAGAAATTGAGATAACTGTCTTAGCAACGTCGTAAATTGTTTAATCATTGCACTTTAAGACTTTTTTTCTTTTTCTTTTTTTTAAAAGAGGAACTATCCTCATTTTTTTTTCCAAACAACAAAACCACAAACTTCAAAAAAAGAAATAATTACTCAATCTTAGCTGCTGGTCCTCCCACCTCCACCCTCCCAGTTCCCCCCAGAGGGAAGCAAGTGCGTCAGTGGAGGGTTGGAAAAGAAGAGAAGTAAAGCCTTTTGACTTTCAGGAAGGAAACACATCTGGGGAATAAGGAAAGAGAGAACGGGTGAAAAGAGGAATTAGCATGGAGGAAGAGCAGCTGGCCAAAAATAGTCAGCCTCTGTTTGAGCCTTGCTTTGCCAGAGCCCCTACCACACCTCCTGCCACTTAAGCATTAGTCAGCCCTGAACGAGCCTTCGGTGGGTGACTAACTTCTCCACTGAACCCCCCTCAAGTCATGGACTGCACTTCCTCCCAGGTGTCTTAATCCAGCCCAGGGTTGCTCAACTTGAGACCCCAGTCCTGTCTTTTTTGTCCTCTCTTCATCTTCCTTTGAAGTAAAAACACAAGTGCTCTTATAGGACTCCACTGAAGGGTGTGTGGGACTGGAGATACAGATCACTGTGGGCGGCCGGGGAATAAGGTAAACAGTGATGTAAACCAGTGACATGATGCTTTACAAAATACATAAACAAAACAAAACCATGAAAAACTGAGATAACAGGAGTTAATATGATTGAGATTTAAGTTATTTTAAGAGAAGCCAGGGGAAGGGAATGAGTAAACATGTGCATTCCTATGGGCAGAAACCCATCTTTAAAAACAGGAACTCTGGTCAAGCAAATATGGTAAAGCCAGATGTAAGGCGGTGTTGTGACCAGACTGGTTTTGGATGGGAAGGACCGGATGTTTGACAGACATTTCATCTCGTCGCAGGTGTTCAAGTAGCACGGTGGACTTATTACACAGTAACTCACTAGGTTTGCCAAAGCAAACAGGAAGCAGTGGCAGAGTTTCACTGTGATTGGTCACTTTGTGACGATGACTAAGAATGCAGGAAGGAGACGGAAAGGGACTGGGTGAATTTCAGAGTACCAAGGAGAGGGTGTACGTGAGTGACAGCATGGTAATGATACCAGAAGGAGACTTCACCTGCTTATGAACGACTAGAAACAATCATGACATTCCCACTCTTTAGCAAAACAAAAACAGAGGAATACCTGTACACGCTCCCAAAGGCTGGATCAAAAGTCAACAGGCTATATATAAAGAATTGAGCTACCATTATCCTGCTATTTTAAAATATGTGTGTTCATTACTTAGAAAGCATGTCTTATTGGATACATTTTGTATTAGAGCAGTCATGCAGCGTGGATTGTAGGCTGTGGCGTTGCCAGTTGGGCAACAAGCTGTTCTCTATGGCTATTTGTCAACTAGAGCCATCCAGTGGTGCTTTGAGGTAATCTGAATAGTACAAAAAAAATAAATCAGCGGGGCTTTCAGCAGAGACGCTGGACAGCCACTGCTGGAATTTTTTTAATGAAATGCAGCAGCTAACAATGAATAAATAAGCTGTTGCTAGTAAAATATGCCAACATATTGCTAATTAGTGCACCAGATAACTTCCCATTACAGGTAAACTTTTTTATAAGTGGATACAAGTACTACAGTTTCAGCATTACATCCTAAGACAAAGTCAACAACACTTGGCCTTGTCTGACCCTGTAAAAGTTGACTTTAGACATCTGAAATTAACCAGGAGCTTCTTTGTACAATAATAGTAGTAGTACATTTATGTGGTTGCCAATGTGGATGGACCCACATGTTTGATTTGGCACATAGGATGCCCCCTCCCCCTCCCGTTTATCTGGGCTCAGGGCCAGCACTAGGAGTATATTAGCTTTTCTTGAATTGGGATCTTTCATATGTAAGACCAATGTGTTAACAACAATAGAAGTAGTAGGAGATGTAGTGCTTTTGCATCAGTCTCAGTCCTTGGATGGAGTCCTGCCACCCATCCTCACTTCTCAACAAACTCTTTGCCTTGGCTTTTAGAAGCTCCTTGCCAACAGCAGTAGCCATAACTGGGATGCACTGGTTGGATCACAAGTTAAACTAGTTGAGAGTAAAGCACTGAGACTCTGGGGTTTATGTATTAGACAAAAGAACATGGTTATGTTGATTATATGGGACAACTAATTTATTTATATAGTTAAATAGTGGTGCCTGAAATTACAGTCGCGCTAGCATGTGAGTGCCAAGCAAAGGATAAAGAGCCGTCATGGAAAGGCTCTGAAGACATTGTGGCCATCTATGGCCCTAAATTTGCAAATTTGAGATCCCTTCTATAGCAGTTTGATGGGATCCAACACAGTTTTCCATGTGCAAGCAATTGAAAACAATTGGTTGATGGAATTTCTTAAATTAAAAGCTCCAGAAGGACAAACACATTTTGGTGCTTGTAAATGAAATAATACAAATAATATGCATAAATCTCAAAATGCAAAATGCATTCTTGCCTTTAAATGCTTGTGAATCTCAGTCCATTTTTAAAATGTTAAGATACACACTAATATCAGAAAGAAGGGGGAAAGCGCTCATTTAGAAAAATAGGAGTGTGGTTATATAGAAAACAGAAAACAGTGTAAAAAATCAATGAAGTAAAATTTAAATGGAGAGCATAATAAGTAAATTCTTGCAAATTAAGTAAGTTTGAGGGTACTGAAATATTTTTTGACACAGTTGGAAATTATGAGTCTTAACATCACTAGTACACTAGTTACTAAAAAAAAATTATAATATATTTTCTGTATCATGTCTATCTAGCTACCTTGACCTGAACCCTACTTTAAAAGCTAAGTCGTCAGCTCACTAGCATCCCCCGGCTGAATAAAGGGTAAATAAATTACACTCGGAGATGGTCAGCATTTAAGCAACATCATTATGGCAGATTAAAAGAAAAACAGCGTATTATCGCGATAATTACTATTTTTGACTGCGACTAGACAAGCTGACCCAAAATATAATCCATGTCACCATCGTCTTGAAAACGCTCTAATACGGAAGCTCGCGAGGCCCACAGGAGCCGAAACGCGAAGGTTGTCAGGAGCAGCAGGAGGAGGCCACGGCTGGACAGTGTCTGACGTGGAAAGTGTCAGCACTGAGTAAGAAACTTCGGGCCAAAACAAGCCTCGAGAACAAAATCCCCCCAGTTCTCTGTAAGCTCCTGCGGGTTTCACAGAGGACAGCACAATGAGTCTGGATAAGGCGAAGCTGTGTGATTCACTGTTAACCTGGGTAAGTTTGACAGTAGCAACATTTCGAGCAAGGCTAACCGCCGGCTAAGAGGTGTCAGCAGGTGTTAGCAAATGTGGAGAATTACGGCTTTACTTTTGGAAGTTGTGGGCTCACGTAATCGATAAGGGGCATCTTTACTGACTTGGTCAATTAAACGCTTGGTGTTTTAAGTTGTAAGCTAACTGTCACTAGCCAGCCGAGCTAATTGGCTTTGTGAACACATTGGAGGTTTGCTCCTGGTGGTCTGCTTTATCTCTTATCCATGTTAGCAAACTGACTGCATTGTCAGCAAATTAACTGCCAGAAAAACAAACCCAAATAGCTTAGTGTAAGCTGAGAGGCCTAAGGAGTAATGTTAGGCTATCCAACACAGCCACGTTATTTTCAAAGCTCAGAGCAAATCCACCTGTTTGGCTCCTTTCTACAAAGAGGTGTGAAGACTTGGACTGAACTAAGACACCAACTAATAATAGCATGCTAAGCAGGGCTGTAATCCCCCATTGCTGCTTAGTATTTTTTTTTAATTTAAGTTATGTTTAGAAAGCTTGAGCAGCTTTACACAAAATCCCCAAATACATAAATCCCCCTTCTTTCTTTAAATTGGAAAGTTTTTATAAATGATCTTGAGCAATTGTTCTTTAGACTTTCTGAAGGTCTTTCAAAGTTTCTTTTAACATCGGCTACTTTTTTACTCATTGTCCAGTCCAGTCCTCGTATCTGACCATTCTCAAAGAAATGTTTTTGTGTTTTTAAGCCACTCAACACTGACCTATGAATTATTCAAGCATAAAAAGACACCCAACTCAACGGATGAGCTAGTGTTGTCTACACAGACAAAATAGAGAACCAGTTTTAAATTGTATCTTTAGGCTTTACTAGCAGCAATATAACTTGTTCCTATTCCCAGTGATAACACAGGTTGACAGGCATAAAATGGTATTTATATAAAGAAGGTGATTCACTAAGAGCTGTTGGCTGAAAACTTCACATCTCAGCATGGTGTGCAGTGTGTCCTTAAAAATGTAAGGAAACTGAACAGGTCGCGGACAAAAGATGTACCAAGGATCATGCCAAAGTGGAACTGAATTTAAAATGGGTGGTAACAGATCTGGTGGAGTGAGTTACAAAGCAGTAAAAATTAATTCTTTTTACTGCTTTTTTTTTTTTTTTTTTTTTTTTTAAACTGTAAAAATTCAGCCTAAATCTGAACAAAATTTTGTTCAGATTTAGGCTGCTCTACAGAGGAGATCAGGAGAGAGTACAACAGTGAGACTCTACAGCCATCTGTAAAACACAGGGAAGGCTCTGTATGGTATGGTGTTGGCTTTCAGTCAATATTTTTGGGATCTTTTCAAAATTGATGGAACTATGAATGCAGAAAAGTGTAATACCATCTGGGAACCATCTAATTGGTAATCATTCTATTTATCAGTATGACAGTGATCTCAAACACCCTGGCAATGCAATGAAAGCATACCCAAATAGAAAAACACACAAGACAACACCATCAGTCATGGATTGGCTTCCCTAGACTCCAGTCACCAAACATTAAAGCATTGTTCTGTTCAAGATGATTCCACAAATGGCAAATACCAAATATGTATTTTCAAGTTTGTTAGAATTGTATAAATCACGTTTTCCCCAATTTACATTTATGTTTGTCGACGTTTCAATAAATCACTGCACCCATTTTCCTAATGATTCAAGATTTTTGCACAGTGCTGTTTAGAATGGGGATATTAGATTCATTTATTTAATATAGTAATGTTTTCACCCTGGTTTAGTTTAATGTAATGTTGCTGTACATTAAATGTCAAAACATTGAAAGGTTTCTTTCTTTAATGACCAGCTCTTTAATGTCTTCAATCTCAGTTACAGACATTTCAGGTGCCATCGTGCAACAGCAAGCACGACCTGACAAGCGGAGTGGCCATTGCACATGTACTGCACAGAATGTAAGCACAAGCAGTATGTCACCAGTGTTGTTTCCACTAACTGCACGATTGTCTTCTGGAGATTCATTCAAAACTTACTCACTGAAATTTGCTTATCTGTATAATTTTGGATTGCCATTAAGTCCATTATCTATGCAAAATGTAGCCAGTTAAACAGTAAATGTTACCCAGACATGGCTCTGAATACCTCAGGCATCGGTGTGATTTTGTTTTTTTTTTAATAAATAAAGTGATGTGTGCAGACTTAATCACATCAACCAATTATTGGAAAATACACATTTGGAAAACAGATTTTTAATCAACCTATTTTAGCTGTAGCTGCTTCTTTATCATTATTCCCATGCTGTGTAGCTTTTAATGAATAGTTTTACTCTGTCATTGTGCAGAAACACAGAAACACAAAGGGACAGAAACACAGGGTCTCACTGCCCTGTGGTCTTGTTATCAATCTCAGTATCCAGAGATGTCGTCGTTACAATTCTCTTGTGCTCTCATTAACAGAGACCCTTCTTGGTTTAATGAGACATGGCTAGGCAGGATCAAGGAGGAGAGCGGGGCCAACTGGCGCCTCAAGGTAATTTGTGAAACAGCATGATATGACAGAACACCCTGTAGTTATTTAGAATGACTAAAATCAAAGATCTTTTTTTAAATTCTTCTGCTTGATTAATGAAAGTGTTACGATTGTAACCCCGTTTCATTCTTTCAGGTCAGCAATTTGAAAAAGATTCTGAAAAGCATGATGGAATATTATCACGATGTAAGAAACTTTTGCTGATTTGGCCTTCATTTTTCATGTGCTGCTTGACTCGAGCCTACCAGCTCACTTTTCTGTTTCGTGAACAGGTGCTCGGTCACCAGGTGTCTGATGAGCATATGCCAGACGTGAACCTGATAGGAGAGATGGGAGATGTCACAGAACTGGGAAAGCTGGTACAGCTCGTGTTGGGTTGTGCAGTCAGCTGCGAGAAGAAACAAGGTAGGCCTGTACACAAGTACATTTCTTCTGCTTTCATTTAGGAATAAATGCCTCATAATCACTGCTGAGAAGATATTTGTCAGCATGAAAACACAAAAACGCAATTCAGTGATCTCAAGTCATTTAGAAATGCTCACACGGACGGCAACTTTATTTGGACAACAGCTGTATTTAGCAGCTGGCCACTCACTTTATACCCAACTGCTTGCAAAGCATAATATGACATGACATACTATCATGGTGGCCAGATGGCCTTGTTTTCCTCCTCCATCCTTGAATAGACACTTTCTGGATTTTTTTTTTTTTTTCATAAATTTTTGTAAATGTTTAAAAAAAATGGACTGACCTCTTGCCAACATAAACATTCATTAGGGGATTAGGAGCAACATTAGGAGACGTGGCTGCTGGTTAACTGCTATATATGGCAACTGTGTTGAAGCACAAGATTAAAAGGTGCTAGAATCAGCATTCTTGTTATTATAGTAAATACATTTTATTCTGCTGAGTTGTAGAAGTAAAGAAGATGTCTCACACTTGTGGGTTTGCTTTTCAATAGCTGGGAAAGGCAGTGACTAAACTGCTATGAGACCTAGAAGAAGGGAGGGGAAAACAAATTTTTCAAATGTGGAAATTAATTGCTGCACAACTATGCCAGTAATTGGCACAGAGTGTGCAAGTGTGAGCACCTCCTGAAAGTTTTCTGGTCTGCAGCATTTGGATGTGTGTTAACACAATACCACAGTCTTTCCAGTGTGAACATCCTATCAAATTCACCCCAAGGACAGACCATTCAGCACTCAGAGAAACAGCAAATAACCGAAGATCTACATCTCAGACACTACAGAACTCAGTCAACATGTTAAATGTTGATGTTCAAGACAGCGCAATTAGAAAAAGACTAAAGGAGTATGGCTTGTTTGCAAGGGTTGCAGCAGAGAGCCTCCTTCATCTAAAAGGAACATGGCAACACAGCTCAGGTTTCCAAAGCTGCATCTGAAAAAGCCTTAACGATGTCCTTTGGACAGATGAGACCAAAGTGGAAATGTTTGGCTATAATGCACAACACCACATGTGGTGAATAGCAACAACCGCCTCACACCAGCTGATAGCACGGTGGTGGAGGGGTAAATGTTTGGACGTGTTTTACAGCCACAAGACGTGGTTAACTCAGTCATTGAGCTGACCATGAACTCCTCTGTATACCAAAATATTCTAGAGTCAAATGTGAAGCTTTTGACAGCTAAAGCTTAGCTGAAATTAGGTCATGCAACAGGACTCTGATCCCAGACAATCTACAACAGAATGACTGAAAAGGCAACAACAACAAAAAAAATCAAGGTGCTGCAATGATCCAAAGTCCAGAGTTCAACCTGATTGAAATTCTGTGGCAGGACCTTAAGAGCTGTGCATAAATGAAATGCTCAATGAAATGAAATGAAGCAACACAGTAAAGAAGAGTAGGACAAAATTCATCCACAGTGATGAGAGAGTGATAAAGTCCTACCAGAACTGATTGCTTCAAATTATTGATGTTAAAGGCTATTCAAGCTACTGCAGGATGGAGTGTATTAAGTGTTTGGCATAGACTGCTGCATAGAGTCCTAACATAAGAAGACTCATTTAATCATACATGCATATACTGCAGGGGTGGGGGAACTCCAGGCCTCAAGGGCAAATTCTAGATCTGTCCTTGATCCAAAACAGCTTGTTTAAATGGCTAAATAACCTCCTCATCGTGTCTTAAAGTTCTCCAGAGGCCTGGTAATGAACTACTCATTTGACTCAGGGTGAGATCTAAAACCTGCTAGACCCTCGAGGCCTGGAGTTCCCAACCCCTGGTATACTGGATAGTTGGCTTAAGGTGGTTCATTAGTTATAAAGCTTTCCTTTGAAAATGAATATTTTTTTGTTCCTCATTTCACAAATGGCAGAAAGATCGACCCATCCAGATGTGCACTCTTTTTACTTCCTTCCTGTGTTCTTCCTGTGAAATAAGCAGTGTTGGACATTTTGCATCTTGCATACAGAAATACACATTTATTAAATTGGTGATAATGATGGAGACATGTTGGCATTCTCAAAAAAAATAAGGTGTATGCGGTGCTCTTTCTTCTTTGGAGAGGTAAATGTTGGTGGCTTGACACAGAAAAAGTTGGAACAGTTGTTTTTCTCTCAGTTATGGTCTGATCAATTTGTTGACAAGCTGTTTTCCCGTTACTGATAACAGCTCATGAGACAAAAAATGGTCAGGTCAGTTTCACAGAAAATTGACTGTAAAGCTGAGTCGATTTTTACAGCAGTGGTTTGACTTTCATGGGAGCGTGTGTGTGTGTGTTAATCTGTATTTGGCTGAGACTTCACTGGCCTTTGTTGTCTTCTAAACGCAGAGCAAATCCAGCAGATAATGACACTCGAGGAATCTGTCCAGCATGTTGTGATGACTGCCATTCAGGAAGTGAGTGAGCCTCTTTTTCTTTCCTCTTGGTTTACCCTGATTTGCATTAATCCAATTCTTAGTCACGGTTAATTCAAAATCAAAGAAGTCTGGATAAACATAAGACTAAAGAGCATCCCACAGACCCCTACTCTATGCTATTTACAAAGATGCGTTTACTGTTATCACCACCAAAGGGACTGTAAAAACCTGGATCATCTTCCAAGGTTTTTACCAAACAAGGTTATTCAGAGAACCAGATAAATCTGCCTTTGGCAAAAGACTGTTATTTTATTTTCCCTGTGGTTGCATTCATTGACTCACTTTCCTGTTTTGTTTTAGCTCTTATCGAAGGAGCCGTCATCTGAACCGGGAAGCCCAGAGACCTACGGGGATTTTGACTATCAGGTAAAAACCCACAACATATTCATTCCCCTACTTGTTTTTTACTTAGATTTGCTACATCCTGTGTTTGTGTTTACTCCCCACTGCTTTGATCAGTGTCAAATATCCTCTGTCTGCACGTCTTTTATTCGCAGTCCAGAAAGTATTATTTTCTGAGTGAGGAGGCAGACGAGAAGGAGGACCTGAGCCAGCGCTGTCGACACCTTGAACATCAGGTTGGTTTACTAAACACAGTTTTGATCATACTTGGCAAACATTTCCTGAGACTTTAAAGATATAATCCTAAGATTTCACTTCAGGTCAATTTGGCAATCAAGTCGGTGGAAACTGAAGAGACACTCTTTGAGCACACATTGGTTCAACAAATGGTTTTGTTGCACAAGCATCATCTGATTAAGGCCAGTGCTTTTCACACAAGACACAGTAGAGTTACAGCAGTATGTCAGCAGTGCTGGCAAGTTTCTGTGCAACCCTGCTAAAAGTGCTTTAAATCTATCATTTTGGTCCTTCACGTCTTTTTCCTGTGAGTACTTGAGTATAAATTCCACTTTTGTTTAGTTTGAACTCGTTTAACAGGAGATGGAACAATAAGCATGATTGAGTACAGAAGTACGCTATAAAAACACTGAGACAAAAACCATATAACACTAATGTTGCATTTCCACCTATACATGTTGGCCTACATTTATTGGTTAAATTTGATGGGTGTACCAAGTTTGGATGGTTCCCACCTTGGCCGGAGGGGTGTACTATAAAGCAAGACTATTGGATTATTCAGGTTAAAATCAGCGTTTTCAGTGTCTGGAAAGTGGCTCCCTTTTCCCTGGCTACAATACTCTGGTAACTTATGTTAAACATACAACCTGGTCCAGAGCACATTATGTTCCTAGTTGAAAGCGCCACATTTTTACTTATTCCAGCATGTTTTAAGTGGGATAGAAAATGGTATGTTACAGGTTGACAAATTGCATCTATAAACCCTAACACAGTGGTGTCCAAACCTTTACTGTTTAAATGTATAAGGTTTACAGTTTCAGAGTTGTGTGCAGCTCTCACGTTAGAAATAAACAGCGGAACGCAGCTATAGAATGAATTCAGTAAATATGAATTAACTTCAAGATGATATATTTACTACGTTGCATGCTTGTGATGATATCGAGTTTGTAATATTAACATTAATGTGTTTAATCGTAGTAGTAGAAGTAGTATAACATTTCATGTCAGACAAGAGAAAGTCTGACTTAACAAAGAAAGTTGATTGTCACTTTCTGGGGTTTTAGGTTTAGGCTTTAACAGAAAGCCGGGCTTTTTTTGACTTGCCTCATAGGACACCCCTCAGTTCTCACTTGTAAAGAAGATTTTGAGCTCAGTGTGTAAGAATATAAAGAGTGGATAGCAGAATAGCTGTTGCTGGGGAGAAATGGTTTGATTGAATGGAAATCTTGAGGATTATAACTTTAAGATGAGTCTCGGGTTTGTTTTATCAATCTTTGAGCTGTTGACTTGAAATTTGAAAAAATAATGCCATTTCATCTCTGCCTACCAGATTTACAGACTCTCAGGTTTAGTTTTGCTGTATTTTTTTTTTTTTTTTAGAGAAGCATGTTGTGTGTGTCTGTGCCTGCAATTTATTTGTGCTCTGGCCTTTTATTGATTAGCCAGCCAAAGGCTTTGTTTGTGTTCCCTTGACTTGTTTTTGCACCACTGAATGTGAGCGGACTAATTCAGACTTTTTTTCTTTTTTTTTGAAAAAGAGGATCCCAGTCGATAGTTGCATAACATCAAGATAAAACTGACACGTTGCCTTGGGATGGAGCAGTAGCCAACTATAATTTGTACTGCTCCCAGCCCACCTGTTTGTTTACTTACTCGGCCCACGCGTTAGGGATTAGTCATTTGTGTTGTTTTGAAAGCTATTTACTGTTACTGGTTTGGTGCTAAAGCATGCAATCTGTCCTTAAAGTTCAGTGTAGGGTTTTGCTGTATTCAGACTGGAAAGATATCCTGCAGGTAAGTATGCGCTCCCCTCTCTTAATATTGGAATGCAAGCTTGTTTAACTATGAGCGCCGTTCAGTCTGACACAAACATTTAAAAGTAATGCAGCTCTAAACCACAGCCGGCCCTTTCCTCAAACCAACCACCGTCATCGATGTAGATCTGTTCTCCTGCCGACTATTAATGTTACACATGTATTACTTACGGTCCTCAATGAGCTCTGCATACTCGTCTGCTCATATCATGAGGATCTGCTTTGAACCCTGGGGGTAAAGCTAACAACTGCACTACTGAGAATGTTCCATCTGCTTGAGATCATTGCACACCAGCTGACTAACACACATTTTACAAAAGAGCTTGTGATATTACAGCAAAGCATGTGTTTAAGGTCCTCTTTGCACTGAAAGTGGTGAGTTATCGCTGTTTATCTTGTTTTCCTTCATGAATCTGTTGTGTCCTTGCACTGTGGCTTTTTTGTATATAGGCTGGTTTTTTTTGCTTCTTTTTGTTATGCTTCAATCTCGACCTTTCCTCTATTGTGTCTCCTTGTCCTGTTTTTCACCCCTTTTTAAAGCTGTAGCTCACCTTCCGTCTCTTCTCTCTCAGCAGTCCACTGCACACTCAGTCTTTACACCTCTTTTTGCAATGTTTGTGCTCCGTTTCTCTCTCCCACCCCCCTCCGACAGCTGTCAGTGGCTCTGGAGGAGAAGATGTCCCTGCAGGCAGAGACGCGCTCCCTGAAAGAGAAGCTCAGCCTATGCGAATCTCTGGACGCCTCCACCACTGCCATCACTGGCAAGAAGCTGCTGCTGCTGCAGAGTCAGATGGAGCAGCTTCAGGAGGAAAACTACAGGTACAAGTGGTACTTAAGTACTTAGGAAAACAACCCGGGGTTTATAATGAGTGTCTCAGTCATTAACTCTTTAAAAAGATGTAGTAGTAGTAGTAGTAGTAGTAGTGGTAGTAGTGGTGGTGGTAGTATAAAATTTCAGCCCTCGTTCATAACATATGAGTCAACTTTATAAAGACATGCAAATCAGATGCCGTTGAGTCAGCTGTTCCTTTGAGTGTCTTTCAAAGTGCATATCCAGTCATATTAACCACTGTATATCTCAGACTGGAGAACGGCAGAGACGACATGCATGTGCGGGCAGAGATACTGGAGCGCGAGGTGGCTGAGCTGCAGCTACGGAACGAAGACCTGACCAGCCTGGCGCAGGAGGCCCAGGCCCTCAAAGACGAGATGGACATCCTCAGGTGAGAGCAGATCGAACAGATCGAGTTCAGTTGATCATGAAAATGTAAACAAGCCAGTTAAACAGTGGTTATTATGTAAGGAGTGGTGTAGGCCTTTTTGCAAGCTCACAAGTTTGTAGTGAAAGAAACTGCAGAAAGTTGCGCTTTGTGGGCGTTTGGTCACATGGACACTAAGTGTTTGTGTTCATGCTTTGCAGGCTTTTTTGAATGCATTACATTCACAGTTTACAAGTGTTTTACATATAAAGGTTTTCCTTGTGTCAAAACGGGTAATTGTAAACATTTGCTAACAACTTCTGCTGAGCTACTACTTCAGGAACTGTGAATAAAACAACTGCCAACAATCAGAAGGTCCTGCTAGTAAATATTGTATGTGTATTACAGGGTGCAATGCTTCTTTTATTATACAAAGATTGTTTTAAATATATTTGCTTCTGTCCAACAAATTCAGTGTTTCCTTCTGTTTGAGTAGTAGTTGCAAAAAACCGTGGATGAGTTGAAGTTTCTTGGCATATTTGAAGATTGATCTCTGTAGAAGAGGCAAAAACTTTAAACAGTTTTGATCCTGAGTCCAAAAGTATCAATACACATACTAATACAGTGTTGGTAAATTCTTAATATCAAGAATGTTGATAATGACGAGCCTTTTCCTTTAAGTAGTAGTTCAAACTGATAATAGATGAACTCACAGAAGCAACCCCCATGCTGCCCACACACAGATGTCCATTCTGCTCTCTCTGACATCTGTGTTGATAATACAAATTTTCATGCATTGACACCGGCTTGCGTCAGAGTACACATCTACATGGACGCATTGTGTTAAGTATAACTCATATTCCTCTGCTGTTGCTCGATGCCTCCCACGCTATGCTTTCCTTCCCCCTCAGGCACTCGTCTGACCGGGTGAACCAGCTCGAGGCGATGGTGGAGACGTACAAGAGGAAGCTGGAGGACCTGGGAGACCTGCGCAGACAAGTGCGCCTCCTGGAAGAGCACAACACTGTGTACATGCAGCGCACGTGCGAGCTGGAGGAGGAGCTTCGCAGGGCCAACGCTGTCCGCAGTCAGCTGGACACCTACAAGAGACAGGCAAGCTGTGCTTTTGCCTGTTCCTGTGCTGGGACATCCAAGAGATGCGAAACACATTCTGGCTCGTACACGTGTTTGGAAACCCTTTTCATTTATTTATTTATTTATTTATTTAAAATAGAGCACTCTGGCTGACTGTATGCTCTCTGACTTGTAGGCTCATGAGCTTCACACCAAGCACTCAGCAGAGGCCATGAAAGCTGAGAAGTGGCAGTTTGAGTACAAGAACCTTCACGACAAGTACGACGCACTGCTGAAGGAGAAGGAAGTGAGTCGGAGAGTATTTTTGAGAAATTAAAAATAAACAGTTTTTATATGGGGGGGAAATGTGCACATGGTCTACAGAGTGTTTTTGTACACTGAGGCCCTCTCATTCCCCTCTCGGTCTAGTAATAGTTTTGATTTCAGTGATGACAAATGATGTTTAGATTGGCGTTTGTTGTGATCATTACAGAAAGCACTTCCCTACATGGAGAATTGTGTCCTGGTAGATACTGTACTATTCTTCAGCGGACTCCCACATCCTGTGTCAATTCTAGTAGCTTCTGCAGTCAAGGAGTGATTAATTTTCTCGCTTACTTGTGGGTGTAATTAGGAAATGTGCTAATATGACGTGGATACTTGTATTTGCTCTGTCTCTGTCTGGACTGCATCGCATCCAAGTCCAGATATAGAAAACCTGACGCTACATGGATCTTAAGGCCACTTAAGGTGTTTTGGTGTCCTTTGTTTTCCAGCGTCTGATCGCAGAAAGAGACACACTGCGGGAGACAAACGATGAGCTCAGGTGTGCACAAGTCCAGCAGAGGTATCTCAGTGGAGCAGGTGAGTTGAAAGCATAGGTATGGCTAGAAAACACCTAAAACAATGGGCTTTACTGAGAAATATGTCACGCACTGTTGGAGGAAAAAAATAAATAAAACATAAGGAAACTTGGAAGTTGGACCCTCATCTTCCTTTAGAACAGCCTTAAATCTCTGTGGCACAGATTCAGGAAAGTGTTGGAAACATTTCTAAGAGATTTGACATGATAGCATCACACAGCTACTGCAGATTTGTCAGCTGCACATCCATGATAATCTCCTGTTCCACCAAATCCTAAAGGTGCTCTAGATCTGGTGACTGGACACTACTTGAGTACAGTAAACTCTGTGTTTAACTCATTCACTGCCAGCCATTGGCAGTGAATGAGTTAAACCCATTGACTCATTCACTGCAATTGACGGCTATAGACGTCAATTGCAGTGAATGAGCTAAGAATGGTGTGTCATCCTGCTGTAAGCAACCATCAGAAGATGGTCACACTGTGGTCATAAAGGAGTGGACATGGTCAATGAGACACATGAAGAGACTACACAGATCACTCCTAATTAAACTAAAATCACTTTTCTTTCCCATTCAGATGTTCAGTCCACATCTACATACATAGATGCTTTTTGTTGCTGTCATGTGATTGGCTGATTAGATATTTTTGTAACTGAGCAATTAAACTGGTGTACCTAATAAAGTGGCCAGTGAGTGTAATGGTAATACTAAAGAGTGTAACTTTTTTGGGGGGGG